CTGAGTTCAATTCCCCAGTTCCACCAAAAAAAAAAAAGAAGACATGAAATTATTCAACACACACGCAGGAGGAGTAATGTAAGAAATCCGAAAGATACAAGGGAAGGAAGGAGACGGTTTCTGGAATTCTGGCTCTAGAAAACTCAGAGCGACTATTATGGCTATTTATTAACCTGCAATATCGTAAACCATAACCCTATTAAACAAGATGAATGAGTCCTGGGCTCTGGTTTTTAACTGCCAACTCAGTGGGATTTTTAGCAGGCAAAAATGCAAAGGCTTTGGGAAAATGGCCTAATGTGGATCCGTGACCAGACGTGGCCAAACCAACTAAATGTGAGGTGATAACGTTCAAGAGAAATTCAAACTAAAGAAACATTTAATTTACATTCTGCCTTCTGCATCAGAAATATATGGTCATTGTATGGTCCAGCCTGGGCATCATTATTTGAGGCACAGTGTTTAATAGAGCCCCCCGCCCCCCGTGAATGTACTGTGAGTCTGTGAAGGCTGGGATCTTAAATGTCTCCAATAGGCCTCTGTGGTAACAGCTCACTCTGTTAGCAGCCTATGGTGCTGTTAGGACGGGGTGGAGCCTTCAGCATGTGGGGTCTTCAGGGAGCTCTAAAGTTTGGTCATTACGGGTTTGGCCTGACCAGGCATGGTGGCGTGCATCTGGAATCCCAGCTATTTGGAAGGCTGAGGCAGAAAGATTGCCAAGTTCAAGGTCAGACTGGGCAACATAATGAGATTCTGTTTCAAAATTTTAAAGAAAAATTTTTAAAAGTCTGGGGAATGTAGCTTAGTGGTAGAGTGTCACTAAGTTCAATATTGAAAAAACAAAAGAACAAAACAGAGACAGGTTTGGTGGGGAAAACTGGATCCCTGTCCCCTTCCTCGATCTCCCCTGGCTTCCGGGCTACTGAGAGGTGTGCAGTTTCCTCTGTTATCTGCTCCCTGTCACGGTGTGCTGCCTCACCATGGCCCAAAGGGACGTGCAACCAGTGACTGAAGCCTGCGATGGCGTGAACCTGAATAAACTGTTCCTCCTTTTAAGTTGATTCTCTCAGGTATGTGGTCACAGAAACAGAGGGCTAATTGACCCAGAGCCTCTGCCACGACAGGCTGATGCCATGACGTGCCAGCCCTCGGTGGCCAAACTGTTAGTCCCTCGCTCATCCGCAGATGCCCTGACAAGAGCAGGGAGAAGTCACTCCTTCTCCTGGCAATGGCCTTCTTTGGCTGAGGAGCTCAAGAACGACCCTGACTGAGCGCCCCCGCGGGCCTTGGTCCTTCAGGGTCTCTCCGGCCACAATAGAACCTCAAGGTTCTCTTTAAAGAATGGAACGTTTGCCTCCACCCACCTGCTGTAAACAACGTACTGCAGCTCTTCCAGCCTCAAGCTTAAAAGCAAACATCGGTACTCTTTGTGGAAGACGCAAAAGCTCTGCCCTTTCTGTGCCCTCCATAAACATCATGTGTGCTGTGCCGGAGAGCCGGGGAGCTCTGCTGCTGCGGGGCTGTGGAAAGCTTGGGCAGTGAGACAGACCTGGTGACTGAGTGACCCTCCTTCCAGATTTCCCCTGCCTCTTGAGGACCACTCAATACCACTGCCCCATTTTTATCGCTTTGCTCTTATCACAGGCAAAAAAATAAAAATTAAAAAAAAAAAAAAAAGGAAAAGCATCACTTTCTACTGTTCAATGGCTTGTTAATTTGTCTTCCATTTAGCCTTAGCCTTGTCTTCTCAGAGCAAAATGGTGAGAATTTTTCTTAACTATAATGATCTCTAGGTTTTTTTTTTCTTCCCTTTTCAAGGATGTATTCTGAGTTAAGAATGAAAGAAGGAAAAGAAAGAGGGTAAAAGGATATTTATCTAGAGATCAATGATAAATGGGGAAGTGAAGCCACTTGGAGCCATACAGGTCTGGTGAGTATCTCTTTAAAACAACCATCTTAAAATGCTTTCAACCTAGTAATACCATAAAAGTCCTGCTGCTGTCTTCGTTTTCAGATTCTTCCCCGTACTTTCCATGAGCATTCTACTGGGAATTGTCTGGAATCCCAGATTAAAACAGCAATAACCCAATTCCCTTGTCAGAATATTTATTTTCTTTTAGGTTTGGAAACTCAGCTGGGATGCATCTTTAAGTGGCCACAGCTCAGCCGCGACCGTCTATGCGCCTCTCAAATGGCATGCTGAGTGGCCACGTCCTGGAACAGGGACGGGAGAAGCGCAGCTGAGCCTCCTTTGGAAAGCCCCAGTGGAGGGCAAGCAGCAAGAGCCTGGGAACCTCCACTTCCAGAGGATACACTCCAGATGTCAAGACCGGTGGTGTCCAACAGGGCTCCTGCATCTCACCAGGGAAAGGTCTCTCAAGTTTGCTACAGAGCAGACACTCTGGAAAAACTATTCTCCTGAACCACATCCACAATCTGATTATTCATAAGGTCCCAGAAACATGCTGCAGCTCCACGCTTGTTTATTGTTTATGTGAGGATTCAACCAGCCAGCCAGCCAGCCAGTCAGCCATCCGCTCACTGAAGGGCGACACACAAACTGATCAGGGATGGACAGAACATACAACCACAGAATGGATTCCTGCCACAAACCAATGCTGTAAATACATCAGGGAATCCTTGCTGAGTCTCCTACCTGCATTCATCTGTCCATCCAAACAATATTTATTAAGCACAATTATATGGAAAACAGCCTCGGCTTTGGCATCAGTTCTGAGAACTGAGTGTAAATCATGCCTCTATCTCTTAATGTTGAAGAACTACTTAAATCGTCTAAGCCCTATATATGACATGGAGATAAAGAACCCACCTTATAGTTATGAGAAATATATATATATATATATATATATATATATATATATGACTTCATACAGTGTCCAGCACATTCCCACAACAGTTACTGACGCTTACGACTAAGTGCAAAGCCAGTAGGATCTCATCAGATCCTGAGATGCAGTCCAGAGGGGGCACCTTGAAGAAACTACTCAAGAAGAAATTAAAAGAAAGAGTTCCAAATAAGAAGGATGTCTCAGATCAGAGCTGTAATATTCTACAGTTAGGAAGGCTGCTGAACACGTTTCTCTCTTAATGTACCGCACAGTTCTAGGAAAACTGACTTAAAAGACTGGCTCACAATTGGACAGCAGAAGGAGCTATGAAATCAGATTTCCCAACTACCAGTTTGGTTTGTTTATTTGTCTGTTTTTCCCATGATGAGTTCTTAGGAAGGGCTAGTTCGGCAGTCCAAGAGCTGACGAGTATCGGAGGCATCCACAGGCCAATCAGGAGACAAGGGTCTCCTTGGAGGATGCTATAAAGTATAGGAATAGGAAGTTGTGAAAGACACCTCTGCCCATTTTGGGAGAAGTATGTGCATTTTTTTTTCTCTGTACTAGAATTTATATTTGAGAAGAACAGAGAGTTTTGCCTGCTTCCTTTATTTCTGCTCATAGGCATAGATGGCAGAGGGCAAGCAATCGGTGACTATGGCTGGAAAGAACAGGTGAACCGAGCAGGTGGCAGCAGCGCTGGCTGTGCCCATGTGCCATGGATAGGTTCTATTTTGAAGTGCAAATTCCTCAAGTCAATGTAGTAGTCACAGGATGGTCTCTAAAGTGCAGCTTACTACCTGCTGGCTTTTTGAGGATAACAGTACACTCAACCAACACCATGTCCTTTATGTCCCAAGCTTTACTTAAACATTCACTGCAAGAGAGAACATGGTAGAGTGGGGCCATGTCCTTTATCTTCCTGCCCACAAAAAGCAGGAGTGCCTCAACTGTAATAGGCAGGAACTTTGTAAATATTAATGGATATAAGAGGCTGCAGGATTTGTCCCCAAGTCCCTGCAACTAACTTTATTGTAAGGGAAATGAGACAAGCCAGTAATCTTCCTCCAGTACCCTCTGTGTCACGATTATCTAATTCTTGGATTTACGGCAGAGAAAGAAAAGTGGAGCCTACACCCTATGTCCTGTTGTTCTATGCTTCCTGAGAGAAGATGAGAATGACCCCGGGACTATTGCTATGTAAAAAGAGATGGCAGGTAAGACTTTAGTGACACCATTTAAATCACTGGAGATCAATTAGAGGTGGGCCAAGATGACCCTGGGGTCCTCTACAACCTGGGTAACATTTATACCACAGAATCAGGCATTGCTTGGACACCGTGACCAGGATGGGAATCAGGGATTCTCTTTCACCAGCTGCCCAAGTCACATTTCATCACCTGACACAGGACAGACAGACAGAAAAGGAAAGGAAATGACAGGAAGGGCCGATGCTGAGGACAGCAGAACCAGCTGCCCAGGTGTGTGGGGCCCACTGCTGCCAAGCTAAAGGTGAGGATTCAGATGGAGGGTGGGGGGCAGGGTGGGGAGGATTTGGGGAGAATGGTAGAGTGCTGCAAACTGGGGCTGCTGAGACAAGGTAAACCCAAGAAAGAGAGAGGATGAGAAGAAGGGACAGGAGAAAGGACATGTTGTGGTATATAAAGTGCAGGAAAGAAAAGTAACCGTCACCGGAAAAGAGAGGGGTGGGAGGTCTACAAAGAACAGAAGAGCATACAGCTTAATAATAAAGCAGTGAAAGGCTGAATAAGAAACTGAGCCACATTTTGGACCAAAGACAATACTAAAGGGCAGCAAATGCAAATTCAGGAATGCAAATCATCTGGCCTCCCAGGGGTCCAAGTTGACTCTGCTCCCTATTACACATTTTCAGACTAGTTTTTCAAAATACATTTCACCCTCAGAGATGACACATCAATAAAAAGGAGATAGGAATCTCAAACTTTTCAAATCCATTTTGGGGGTGGGGTGGGGGCAGAAGATTCTAGAACAACAGGACAGTCACGTGAACACCATCTCCATTGCTCTCTGGCTCGGAGCCCTCTGCCTGTGTCCCCTTCCCCATGCTTCCAGCAGTCTGTCAGTCCATCCTTCCCGGACCCAACCGGGGCCTCCCAGGCAAACACTCACGCAGGTGCGCGGGCAGGCGGATCGAGTCTTCCTCCATCCTGAGCGCTCGAGGCACTGGAACATGAAGTGGAGTCGAGGAGGCGTAACTCGGCACCGGGCTCTCGGGAGGTGTATATGAAATTCGTTCCTGCTGTTAAAAATAAGAGCAGGAAGAGGAGAGGGGGGAAAAAGACAATGAAAGGTTGGAATGGAGGTGTGAAACCACCCAGGGGCGTGGGGAGCCGAGGAAGATGTGGCATTTGGACACTGGTGTTGGGCAACCTCGGGAGACTGCACACAGGAGTCTCGCAGGTGCCTAGCATTTAGGATTTACTCTTTAAATGTGGCAAAGGTTTACATTTGGGCCTTCCTTTCAGCCTCAGGACAACAGGTGTGCACCCATGTGGTTTGTCCCGGAAATGAGAAAAGGCAGAGGTGAGAAAAATGACAGAGAGGCCCTAGAGAATCTCTTTAAAGCAATTCTCTCAAGAATTATTTTTTCCAAGTCACACAGTTAATGGCATCAATACATTAAAACTATGTTTCCTTTTCTCTGGCAATATCCCCAGCTTCTAATCAAAGTATAATTCTATACTCAGATCCAACAAGAGGGAGCTAAACAGGCCAAGTTGCAAGTGATGCCTTCAAAGATAAGATCTCGATTTGGTTATTAAATGTCTGAGCAAGATTTTTCTATTCTATCTCCCTATATAATAACTACAACCAAAAATATCCAACATTTAAATTTGTCCTTCCTACAGGATCATCGGCAACATTAACAAGTATCTCCTCGCTCCTTCATTCCCTGTAGAAGAATCAGTATTTCCTGCTCTCTGAAGATTTTGGAGATCATTAAAAGATTTATTTCAATGTAAGGAAAGAACTGATTAACTGATGACATTTATCAGCGATGGAGTAGGCAAGCAGCAATATTTTTTTTATTATAATTCTATTTTGAACATTTATTTAGTGTGTGTGTGTGTGTGTGTGTGTG